TACATTTCTTCTGTCAAACGAGTGACCCAGTTACAGCTTCCTGTGCTCAGGTACAGGATTTGATGCTTCTAGGGGCAGTGTTTGGACAGGTAAACGCTGCAGCATCGGGACCTTTCCTTTGGAGTTATGTGGAGCAGCTTGGCCGTGGTGCCTTTCCGTTTAGTGAAAGTGTTGTTCCTTTGCTGCGTTGATTGATTTATTCACTGTGGAGAACCAGGACAGTTGTTACAACGTATCAAGGGAGAGCAGAGAGAGCTTGCTTTCCCTGGAGCGTGTGAGTGGCTGTGGAGTATGGAGCTGAGGTGAACCGTATTTCTGACTCTTGAGCAGTGTTTGGGAAAAGCAGGAGGGCGCTCATGGAGCTCTCATCTTCTACCTCGAAGCGACCGGGGAGTTTTCACAAAACAGTTTCTTGTATTTCTCCTTCCTTTGTGCTTCAGGCTGACTCTTGAACAGTGTTTGGGAAAAGCAGGACGGCGCTCATGGAGCTCTCATCTTCTACCTCGGAGCGACCGGGGAGTTTTCACAAAACAGTTTCTTTTTAATGCTGCAAAGTAAGGTCTGCAAAGAAGTTGATGCCAAGCCAGCTCTGTTGGTACCCAAGGTTTGGAGTGGCTGTTGCTGTCCTTGTGCATAAGCACCCAGTCCAGATCCCGAGCTGTGTATGCTGCCCACTTCAGTGCATCCTCCCGCTCGGGTTCCGCAGAACGTTACTCACTGCAGAGTGATGCCTTGTACTCAAACGTTTCTGTTTCCTGCTGTTCTTCAGTGAAGAAATAAAACTAACAAAGCTGGGTTTTTGGAAAGCTCTGGGAGGTTTTGTCATGGGTTGGTTGTTTTTTTCTCCTCCTTTTTTCTATCCCCTCCAAGAAAACGGAGGGGAAATGAAGATGATGTAAAGGAAAGACTGTCATGGAAACCAACTGGCATTTCGAGTCGGCTCTGCCATTTTTAGAAACAGGGCCATGTGCTGAAAGAATCCACAGCAATCTGGTGCCTCCAAACTGGTTTTGGTGAGACTGATGGAAGAAGGTGCATAATGTTACTGCCCGTCTAATAGTTGTTCTTGCTTTTATTAACCTTGCATTAAGAGTAAATTTCTGCTTTTAGAAATCGCACTTGAATTCAGTAGCCTGGGTCAAGTCTTGCATTGGATCCCTCCCTGTATATGATACCTCCTCGGGGGTTTCATGGAAAACCAGTTCCCCTGGTGTGGGATTCGTGGTGCTTCTCTCCTTGTGCATCTCAGTGTCAGTCTGTGGCAGTAGGAAGAGGATCACAGGTTTTGCACAGGCTCAGTAATCAACTCTGTTGAGGCTACCAAGGTGGAAACTTTATCATGTCATGTTCACTGGGCTGTTTTCTTCAATTTTATGTGTGTTTTCAGGTTGTGTTACGTTTCTGGGTGCGAGGAAGACAGCTTGACATGTTTTCTGATAAATGCAATGAGACTTTTTAGGAGAAAATCCTTTCCTATTATGCAGTGGAGTTGTTAGTTATAAATTATTTATGACTAAGGTTTTGTGTGCTAGAGAGCGCAAAGCTGAGCTTTTCCAAATCGTGTCTATAAATATAAAGACCAAGGATTTCAAACCTGCATCCTTAAACCTGGACACCCTGGTTTGTGAGAGCTCTTGGATTCCCAGGGAGTTTAGCAGCAGCACTTGATGAAAATTGCACAAGTGGTGTACGTGCTTCAGGGATCTAACGGATACCCTGGGATACCACCGAGCCAGTGGCTGGGATGATTTAAAACTGGACTTACTGTCCATCGAGGGTGGCACGGACAGACAGACGGACATTCTCCCAAAATTACTTGGGGAAATATCATTTGGGGAGACCTGGGGAAGTGGTGTTGCTCCAAAGGCTTCCACCGAAAGGTGAGAGCACGGAGGATCCCGATGAAGTCAACTGGCTGCATTCCGGTTTGAGTCCTGATTTGTTTACCCAGTTCCGGACCAAAGCAGAGTGATGCAGCAGTGACATTAAGCTGTGCAAATTGGACTCAGTAATTTGCATAAACAGATTTGCTCTGCAATTACTAGGTTTCCGCAGAACGGCGATGCATAGCAAATAGGAAGTGAGGAGCGACTGGTGGTGCTAGCTCATTTCCAGATGTAAACAGTCGAACTGTTTCAGAATGATTTTTCAAATTAAATTACTGTGACACAAAGCACAAAAGATGACAAATCTCATTTGGAGCGTTTTGTTTGTACTTTGGGAGGAGGGTAGTCTGGGGTGACGCTCTGCATGCCAGGTTTTGGATCGAAACAGGTACAAACCAGTGGTGAATAAAATGTGCTTTCATATAGCTATGTGTCTGTGGCTTACATGGCAAGTAGTTGCAGTTCATTTTGGAGTAGTATGGTTTTAAAAACGGCAATGAGTTTCCTTTTTGCTTATCTAACTATTGACTGAGTTTTCTCTGCTGTTAGTACCGCATGCTGAAGGTTTTGGTTTGGACAAGACCACCGTTCTGGCCTTGTTCCTCAACTGTGAGACTTCTGAGAGATTGATGTTCTGCAGCGGAGGCCAAAGAGCTCGGATCTAATTGGAAAAGCAGCCACAGTTAATTACTGCGTTGCATCTCATTGTAGTCCATTTAAACGGATCGGTGCTGTTGGAAATGGAAGAGGCAGAGATCTCCTTCCAGTGCGGTTTGGCCATAACTCAACTGGGAAGGAGAGGATAATGCAACTTTTTGAAAGAGAGATGCTGGCATTTAAGTCTCCTGGAGGTGTGAGTTTTGCCTACGCTGTTTTGAGTCAGATCCAGGGTAGTCTCTGCCCACTGCCGCAAACTGGCTTGAAGCCCACGTTTTTGTCAGCTTTGTTTATCCATTTTTATATCCCATCAGCTTCTACTGCTGATGGAGAGGAAAAATTATTTGTCTTCCTACAGAAATTCTGTTCCTTCGAAAATCAAGGCAAGCATATTCAGCTTTGCCTGAAAGCAGCTTACAGGAATGGCACATTTATTACTGTAATTAGTTATTTTCTTATGTAAAAGACCTGCAAGGTTTATTAAATTGGTGATCCTCTTAATGTTACAATTCACAATGAGACTCTCAAGTGTCCTATCACATATTAAAGTAATCGTGTGCGTGCTAACAGTCTGTCAGCCAAGGATAGCTTTGTTTAAATATATGAATATTGGCCTTTTTTCTTCAGCCAGTGAAAGGTGCAACCGGGAGAGTGAGTGTCCTGGCTTCACATTTATTCAGTGATGTTGAAAGGGGGAGCCACAAGGATGGGGAGGGCTCTGGAGAACAAGCCTGATGAGGAGCGGCTGAGGGAACTGGGCTTGTTCAGCCTGGAGAAGAGAAGGCTGAGGGGAGACCTCATCACCACCTACAACTGCCTCAAGGGAGGTTGTGGAGAGGTGGGTGCTGGGCTCTTCTCCCAGGTGATGGGGGATAGAACAAGGGGAAACGGCACCAAGCTGTGCCAAGGGAGGTTCAGGTCAGAGATAAGGAGGAAGTTCTTTCCTGAGAGGGTCGTCAGAAGCTGGCACAGGCTGCCCAGGGAGGTGGTGGAGTCACCATCCCTGGATGTGTTTAAAGAGCGGGTAGACGAGGTACTTAAGGATATGGTTTAGGGGGTAGACAGGAGCGGTTGGACGTGATGATCTCAGAGGGCTTTTCCAACCGAGTGATTCTGTGATTCTGTGTGAACTCACTGATGACAGCTCCAGCATGCCGTTTCCAGTACCAGGAATTGGTCTGGGTGCAGGGTGTTCTGCTCTGCTCAGGTCCTGCGTGAGCCGCAGTGGTGTTGGGTGGATGAATTCGGCTGTGCACGGTGGTTTCCTGCATAGGAGAAGTAGGTGAACCCTCCTCAAAGTGCCTGCTTATCTCTGGTGGCTCTAAGAGCAGCCTCAGGTAGATAAGGCAGTTGTAGCTGCGTACCCCGTGCATGCCTGGAGCTGGGTGAGGCGAATGACTCCCTCCTTGTTGCTGTTTGCTCGTGAATATCAGCACAGTGAATGATTTTGACTGATTTACTGCAGCTCTTTATGATGTGGTGAAGCACACAGAAATTTGACCTGTGTCAAGCTAAAATGAGAAATCTAGGGAGGGGGATAAGGAAGATTCCCCATCATCCTGCTTGTGGGCTGCTGGCTTGAACTGTAATTGGCTGACCCTAAAGTTTTGAGGATGAGGACCAAACTGTTTCCATGTAACAGCTTTTGGACTGATCAGCTCTGTTAGAAGCCTTTTGGTGGACCAGCTTAGAACCAGTGGTACTGGTCTGGACCAGAGCAGTCATCTGGTATTCCTGTCACTGTAAAATGTAATACATTTCTGTTCCAGGTCTGTAAGAGAATGAACACCGAGTCCCTTTCTTTCTCTTGCTTGAGCTTGGACCTTATTTGTGTTTTGTGATGCATGGGAAGGCATGGCAGAATACATGAAAAGAGGGATTTTGGAGTTCTAGCCTCCCTAAAGTAAATGAATTTTAGTGATTAAGGAATTTTAATATGTTCATGCACTTATACGAATAGCTTCAAATAGCTTTTGAAAAGCTCGCCTCCCACATACGAGCAGCTCTGTCGTTAACTTGGTTTTCCACTGTATGAGCTATCCAGCTTCTCTTCCAGAGCCACTGCTTGGATTTAGGTGCACAGATGTTAGGAAAATGAGGTATTTAATGAGCAGTCTAAGTATGGAGTTGAGGAAGATGTGTTAGACTTCAGCCTCTGAAAATCTCCTCTTTGGAAACCAGAAGCAGCAATGAATACAATACAGGATCTCGCAGTTATGACAAAGAATTAGCAAGGCTCTGCAGCGTGGTTCAGGAAGAGATAATCACATCCTGGGTCGTAATCCTGAGATTCGGTTTGCCTTGTAACATGCAGAAGTACGACTTCTAGCACATAGGAGATTTCAGCTGTATTTGGACATACATGTAAGAAGACGTGGGCTGCTGCTCAGCAGGCTCCAGTCCACAGCATGCAGTCACATTTTAAATTCCTTGCTTTTTCTTTCTTCTCCTTCGCAGGCGAGAGGTGCAGATATCCCGGACATTGGAGGCGAGCTGGCGCTGCGGACCTGCGGCAGCACAGCGAGTATGAAAGTGAAGAACGTGAAAAAGTAAGAGCGGTGCTCGTTGATTTTCCTCTCTTTGCTGGGTGTTAATAATCCTGGGTTGTAGCTGTTGTGCTGCAATGCAGCTAGGGCGTTCGGCTACGATTTTGGATAGCGTCTTCATCAGAGCAACCGAGATCCATGTGAAACGAAGTCAATTAGAGCTAATGTCATCCAAAACTGGGGTCAGGAGAGGTTTTGTTGGCTCTCTCACCTGTTCCTGGCTGTAGAGCAAAGCTTGTTGGAGTTTGGAGCCTCACTGTTACCGTGGCTTTAAATTTTGGTGATTTCTTCTTGATACCGATTAATTAAAAAGAAAAAAAAAAAGAATGGCTATATTAAGAAACTTAAGGAGAAGCCTGGGCAAAGTATAAATGAGATCATTTTTCCTGTCTCCTTATGCTTTGGGAAGCTAAAGCAGAACAAGTGGGTGGCCTAGATATATTTTGTATTTTTTCTCTCTTCCTTTTTTTTAGTCATTCTGCTCTTCATTTGAATGGGTTTTGCAGAGTTTTTCTTTTTTAGGGGTATTTTTTCCTTCTCTGATCTCCCATATTTTTTCTGTGGGCTTACACTCTCTTTCTCTCTCTCTCATTCTCTCCCAGAGCATGCAAACCAACTTCTTATCCTTGCAGCTAACGTTTCAAACCTCTGACCTGCAAAGGGGATCAAAAATAATCACAATTACTCGAGTGCCCGTTGCTAATAATGCTGAGTCAGGGACCAGAGCTCCCCAGTCCTGATTGATCTGTGCATGCAGATCGCCCCTCTCCTGTGCTCTGATGCTGTAAGGGAAATGGCTCTTTGTTCTAGCGCTGAGCAGCCAGATGCTGCATCTCACTTCCCACTTGTATTCCCGTGGGAAGAGAGAGTTAGATAATGACAATCTCATTGGCTCACCACCAGAAATATCTATAGGAGTCTATAATAGCTTCAGCAGAAGCAAGAGCGTGTTGCAGAGCCAGAGGATCTCCCCGTCAGCCATCATTGTAGCTGGAGACACTTGGGAATGATTATGCCTCACTTTTGAATTTGAAAAAGGCAAAGGATAAATAGCGTTTGTTCTGCACCCTCAGATACATCAACCCGGGACTGATGGGCTGTGATGCCTTTCACAGGTAAAGTTCTGCTTTCCTATGTGTCTTGTGTAAGGCTGTTTATTTGCACTGCAAAAATGCGTTTGTAAGGGTAGAGCGGCTTGTCCCTGCACTGTTTCCTAAAGATGTGGGCTTTGGTGTTGATGAAATGCCACTCATTTTTTAAGGATGCAATGATAAAAGCCACTTTTTAGTTTTCCTTTCTCACCGAATCCCTTTCTCCACTGTTTTGGTGCATCACGTCAGCAAACCCCTCTGCTCCCTTGGCTTTAGGATGAGAAAGTAGTTATTATTTTATAGCAGTAACTGCATTTTATAACAGTGCTTGATGCTGAGCGTTGCTTCAGTGACTTGCATCCGGCTTATGGTGTGCTTTTGGTGTGCTTCAGGTTATCCTTTACAAAGGGTCACTTCCCGAAGATGGCTGAGTGCGCGCATTTCCATTACGAAAACGTGGACTTTGGCAACATACAGGTGAGTTTCCGATTTCTTTTACATAGAAATCATCACTGTGTTTGGCTGCCAACTCTAACCTGGTGGGGGAGGTGGCTGAGGGACCTCCACTAAGGTTTCTTTACTTTGTTGTGAGATGTTTAGTGAAGATAAGTTAAAGCAATGGGGTCTCTTTAACTGGAATTGCTTCCGTGTACTGGGCCAGAACCTGCCCTCGGCCACGTGGCCACCCCTTGGAGGCTGGAGATGCTTTAATTTCCACTGGACTTGGCTGATGTTACTGTTTCAAGGCTGCATCACACGTTCATTTTTGAGTCATCTGTAATAGCTCTGTGCATGTTTTTAGTTTGTGTGTGTGTATTTTAAACAATTGCGTGAACGTATTTATGTAAATATAAACACTTGCAGTTTCACAGAATCACAGAATCACAGAACGTTAGGGATTGGAAGGGACCTCAAAAGATCATCTAGTCCAATCCCCCTGCCGGAGCAGGAACGCCTAGATGAGGTTGCACAGGAAGGCGTCCAGGCGGGTTTTGAATGTCTCCAGAGAAGGAGACTCCACAACCTCTCTGGGCAGCCTGTTCCAGTGCTCTGTCACCCTCACTGAGAAGAAGTTTCTCCATCCTCTTCGTGTTCTCCTAGCTCTGCGTTGTGCATTGCAGCAGCTGTGTCATCAGAATATCAGAAATGGCTAGTCAGCCCGAGTTGTGTTTCCAGCAGCGTGCAGGCTCCCCTCCTTTGCCGTCCATTCATCACAAGTAGAGGCAGGAGCGTTTTTCACCGAGCAGTACTGGGGAGGGCTGGGAACCGAGGATCACTGCTGGCTCCTCACAAACAGGGCACATCCTGTTCTGCACTTGGGGAAGCAGGAA